GTATTATAATCCCTAAGATTAAAAAGAACGCAAAGAACATTTCAATCTTTGAGGAGCAATTACTCAAGCCCTTTGAAAAATAGCTTGGGAAATGCTCAAAATTTTAATGAGTAGAAACAGCCTAAGCTATAAGAAGTTTATCTTTGTCTCACCCACATGTACTCTCTCATGTTTAAATCCCTAGAAAGGCAGACATACAAAACGGATTGACAAGGTTTCCACAGAGCCCACAATTTAATTCATCTTCTTCCAGCAGACATCTCGCACCAGTAGCTTTTTTGCTACTGATCCTTGGGCAATTGCAGCAGCTATCACACAATGTTATTAACTTGGAAACTGTTGGAAGTCTGGACATTTGCAGCATTACTGCCTCTCTACAGTCACATGGGAAATCTAAAATAAAAAGCTCTTGAAAAAGTATTAATTTCTAGAGACTGAATAAACTATAACAAAACCACAACAGCAGGTCTGATTCATAAAGGAAAGTCTGTAAGTCACAAGCTTACACAATGTGTTAGATGTGTGCTACACAGCGTGCCTTGTTCAGTGCTAACAAGTATGACTCTCTGCACCAGCTTTTGCTGTTTTATTGAGAGTCTTGTGATCCTTATGTCCTTCCTCTGAAAAGCATAAGACTACATCATAATCCAAGCTTTAATTTTTACAAGATGGAGTTTGAAAGGCTGCAGTCCAAACGCACCCTGAAGAAGTGTGGGGGAGGAGGGAAGGAGGGGAGGGAGGACCAGTCATTCCTTCCCCTTGATTTTTAGGAGCCCAATGTTAAAATTTGGCATGGCTTAAACTTAAAAGTATTCACAGGAAGCTGTAACCTGAAGTCAAAGGAATTCTGCTTCGGATATGGCTTCCTGGATCACCTCTGCAGGCCAACGTCAACGCTTATGCCAGCCTATTGCACCTACCCAACAAAAATCATTTTGACCAACTCCCTGAAACTCCACGTGTTGTCTCCAATAAAAGTAAAGACGCGGGTTTTGAGTCTTGTCATTTAATGAGCCAGCACGGGTCTTTGCTAGTTATCAAGCTATCCTCTCCTTACTTCCCGAGCTTCACCCTAATACTGCCACAGCACAGTTTCCCGTTCCCAAGCAACCCAGCTGTTTCACATCTTTGCACTGAAATTCTTTGGTCATAGCCCCTTTTGCACTAGAAGGACACAATTACCCACACCAGCAGTTTCCAAATTGTGGTTTGCAAAGCCACAGTAAGAGCTCTATAGCACCAGACCACTTTAAGGTTTCAGTTGCAAGCTTGAGACAAATTGAGGATTAAGGTAGTTGCTTGCAGTCCAAAAAAGTTTGGGAATCAAGCAGCTTGAGAAAAACCAAGCTCATCCTTCTTTTGCGTTAATCTCTCCACCCTCCTGCTCGACTGCCACAGCTGCAAAGCGAAATCACAGTTCGCTCCAATCCCTTTATTTGCCCCAGCGATGGGATACGGTTCACCCATAAAACACTGCAAACACAGCAACTAATTACAGAAACTGGCTGTAGCAGCCATGACTGAAATAGTTACCGATTGGTCCCATCCTGCTGCAGACAGGTGCCAGGCACCCTCATATCGTGCCGGGCACAAGTCCAGGGTGCTCTGGGTAGAGTCAACGCACACCCTCACCTCCTCGTGCAGTTGAATGCCTTTGTACAGGCTGCTGGAAACGTCATGCCTCAGCTACATGGTTAAAAATAAACTTTGTCATCAGCTGCTCCTAATTGACTAGGGAAAAGCCACTCCAGAAAAGTCAGTCCCATCTCAGTGTAACCTTCCTCCCAGCCCTTTGCCGCAGTCATTGCCAACCCTGTTAGCAACCAGGTGCACCCCTGCTCGACTGCCATCCCTGCCGCCGGCTGCCTGCTAGTCGTGCTTTCCTACAAAGCTAGGAGTAAAAGCTGGTTGGCCAGTTGATACACGTCTGCAGTTTTCATATTCCTCCTGCTCTTTCCTGGACTGAAAACTTAATCTGTCTTTAATGGACAGATGTTCAGAGAGAAAACTGAAGGCTCTCAGCAGCCAGCCAGCAGGGTCATTGGATAGTCAGGGTTGCATAATAATTTATATTTATATTTTCATTCGACTTTCCAAAAAAACGCTATCAAAAAACCAAAAGTTATTGGCAAGCTTGAATGAAAAGCTTCTTTCCAAATGGGCTAGGAGAACCATGAAAAAGGTCATTATTTTCCCCCCACATATGTTATTAGCAGCTCTCTGAAGTCATTCAGGGAATGAAGTAGGTTTTGGTACAGCGCTCTTATTTCTCGAGTAGCAATTGTAGCATTTCAGTGAACTCTGACTTGGATGTAATAATGCCGCTTGCTTGAAATTGCACCCTGTGGACCCAAGACCATCTCTAATCTGCGGCTGAGTTTGGAAGGTTGAAGTAAGGCTGGACCACACTGGAAAAAAGTCACAGCTAATCCATCCTCTTCACACTGGAAAGGGAAGGATGGACAAATTTGCAGGATCATTTTCATTCATTACTTTGGAGTGAGAGATATTTAAGCCAGAAACTTCCATACAGCTTTTACTTGAAAGAACTTGGAGTTAAGAAAGCGTTTCCCCCTGGTGGACCTCAGAGCTCAGAGAAGAGATTTCGGTGGTATCTGGCTAGCTATATATTAAATAGGAAAAGAGCTGTTTTGTTTTCTCTTTTGGGCATCACAAAAATGACATTTAAAAGAAGGGTACAATTAACCAAGCACTCAACTATCAGGATCTGCCAATACTGAAGTTTTGCACTTGACCTCCACTCTGCATTCTTCACCTTTGGGAATGAGCTATTTACATAATTACAGTATTTCCCCGCTACATCTAAATGTATGTTTTTCCTCATGCTCCATCAAGATGTGTCTAAATTAGATAGCGAGTAAAGGTCATGTCAAGGATATCTCTCGATCCTTCAGTAGAAGGGGAAGAAAAAAATTCAGAATTTTGGGGGGTGGAGAGGATTAATTCTCTCACATGTTTCTTTAAAAAAAAACACACAGTGAAAATGAGAACAACTAATCTCTTAAATTATAGCCAATAATTGGAAGAAAACCACATTTATTTAACTAACTTCTAGTGGCACTTTGAAAGCGGAATCAAAATTATTTAGGGGATACCTTGTGTCCTTTTCAAGGACTCTTGCAAAAGCAACGCATATCCAGGTTGCTCTCCATCTGCACAGAATATTACTAAAAGGTAATCTGACAAGCAGGATTTTTTCACTAATGCTACTAGCTTACGCAAGAAACTCTGTTTTCAGCGAGTCTGCAACCAAAGACCAGGGTGGAAATGACTGGTGGGGATGGTGAGGTGTTTTGACAGCATTGCTGCTTAATGTCGAACCCCAGCATCAAGTGGCAAAGGCAGGAAAAAAACCAAACAGAGAAAGAAAGAGGTAAGCACGCGTACGCGCACACACACAGACGCGCAAAAGGGAGTGGGAAACCAGTCTAGTCCAATCAACAGCAGGATTTCTGCTCACACTTACAACTGAAAACAGATAAAGCCCTTCATTTTTCGTTCTTGAAAGCGAATCCCCACAGCCTGTGTGGAGAAACGCTCTACAAAGTACAGACAATTCTTTGACTTCAGTCACTTTCAGAAGAGCTATCCTCCTTCCACCTCCCTGAACATTTTTCTATTCTCAGTCTTTCATTCATTAGTATTACTACTACGCTCTTATTGACTTTTCTTTTTATATGACAAACCCAAACACTCACTTTTGAGCCTGAGGTTCACTCCCCATACTTGTTTTAGGTGACTTCCCATCCTCTTTTTTCTTTCCACCTCAAGTTGTGTGACATTTGAGATGTTGCTTGAACCACACCTCTCGAGAAGTCAGGGTATTCAGCATCTTTTCTTGTGTTTGTTAAAACATGCATAACTCCTGGCTTTTTACTGTTCATTTTAGTCTGATGAAAGCTCCCTAACTTTTTACCTAGGTGATGTTTTAGTAATTTTGGGGTCAGCATCACAGAAGATATTTAGGAATCCATATAATTTGGATAGCGTCCAGTGAGACTTCAAGGAACCTCTGAAAAGCCTGGGCAACCCCTTGAATGTCTGTATGAAACTGGAGCTTGACGTGCCAGGCTCTCTGGTGCATTGCATTGCAACAGCTGCCACACGCGCCTTTTGGCTCCTAAATACCACAAGGGCCAGATTTGCAACCAGCATCAACATGAAAGAAATAGTAATGGGAGGGTTAAACCTCAAAGCATGCCCAGCACAAACTCCAGATTCCCAAAACTTGTAGCATTTGTATTATTCCAGAGAAACACAGCCAGAAGACAAAAGGTACAAGCCAGATTTTCCAGAGCTTGCTAGCATATTTCAGTATGGACTGGTTCTGTGCAAACTACTTCTGCCAAAGCAGCTAGTCTTTGCCAACTGCAATCTTCTCAGAATAAATAAATAAAATAAAAAGTACCAGCACCCATGTGAGAAAAGCTCCCCATACCTCAAGTTGGACACCTTATCTCCACTCAGTTCCAGCCAGCATTGAAAACTCTGGCCTTCAAGTTACAAGAAGCAGTCATTGCTTTAACCAGCATTTATCCCACCATACAGGAAAAAGAAATTTTCCTTGAACTTCAATATGCTGCTGAGAGTTGAAAGAGAAAGCAGTGAGAATATTTTCTGCAAGATGTGTTTCTTTATGCTGGTATTTCTTGCAGAAGATAGGATTAGTTTCTTGCTGTCTTGCAGCATGATCAAGGGCAATGTAAGGATGATAATTAAGGGAATTCTATCACTAGCTGTCACAAGTGATAAATATGATGCATAATTAAACAAGCGGCACCTAGACTGCCTGGAGGAAACAATTATTTAGTGCTTTCGTTAGGACAGATTCATTTCTCTTCCATTTTTTCATTACGTTATTGCCTTTCACAAACCCACTGAAAAAAAAAATCAACAGCTTTACTGAAGCTCCTGCCATGGCAGCTGCCTAGAAACCGCCTGGTACGGTGAGAGCCGTGATCTGTCGGCAGAAGGCCCACCTTGGGAGTACAGCAGGATCTGCATCTCCAGGAGAACACATGTGAAAACCTGGACGAGGTTCTCCAGGCCCAGTAACTCGAAGACCTCCCGCAGCGGGTAGTCAGACAGCGGGAGCTCGTTGGGGCCAGGCCTCTGGCAAACGATGGGCTCATAAACTCCGTAAAACTTCAGCGACCTGCCCGGAGGCGGCAGGGGCACCTCGTACAGGATGTTGTGGATGTAGCTCTCCAGGGGCAGAGGTGGCGGCTGCTGGGAGGTAACTGCCTTGTAGAGCTGGATCAGGAACTTCTTGCAAGCTTGCATAAAGGGCAGAGGAGTGATGAGGCATATGCATTTGGATACATAGAGCGTGTCTCTGCTAATATCATAGGAGTTGTACCGCTGGAGCTTGGCGAGGGAAGTGGCATCTCCCTCATCAATGCTGCTTGCCAGGGAGTCCATGCTGCACGAGGACGAGGCACAGACACTGCTGTACTGCTCGGCATTGTGCATCTGATAGAGCGTTTGCATGGCCGTACAGATTTGCTTGCTTGTAACCTCCTCATAGAAAGTGAGCACAAATCCGTATGTACGAGAGCCATCTTCTCGGGTGATGATGAACGAGTGGAGCTGCGGGTCTCTGCTATCTGCCTGCGTTCTGAAAGACAGCCCTTTGGGCATGCACAGCTAAGGGAAGAGGAGAAGAAAGAGATAAAGTTATCTGAGCAATAGTTCTATCGTCCTTGCTTTTGCTTTACAGACACATTCTTTTTCCACTGCAACATAACAAGTTATTTCACATTGTTAAACACAGTCCCCCTGAAAATAAGCCCAAAGAATGAACAACCTAGAACTGGTGCTACTTAGAAGAGTGTCATGACCAGGAAAATATCCTCCAAAAATCACCCATCTACTAAGTTATTGCGGACTTATCTTCAGTGCTTTTCACTGCCAAAGAGCCTCTGTCTCATTTATTTAAACATTATATAAAAATACTCAGCTTTTGCTCTCAGCAGCATATATTGTGCTCACTGTACTCTAAATTCAGTGAGTCAAGGGAGCATCTTATACCACTAAATTCAAATTATGTGCAACTCTTGAAAAGAAATGACTGATCATCCCTAATTTTCTTAAAAGAAAAGAAAATAATCGACAGGTAGCTGTTACCTTTACTTTCTTACTTAAGTGTTACAAAATAGCTTAGATTGGCAGAAGGAAGAATAGAAAAAAAAATCTATGCAAGCCTAGTTTTTGATTTATCAGTCAGCAAAATATTTTGCAGTAATTCTATTACACTGAAGCATTTATCTGAGACATACCCCTAGGGATAAGTTGAGGCATTTTTCCAGACACTCCTCACAAATTCTATCAGCTGTCTAATACAAAATAACAAATTTCCAGCAAAACATGTTTGGATGTGCGTCAGCATGAAACTCATCCCGTTCTGACTAAATCAGTACATCTACAAGCCAAGATTTAAAGCTTCGTTTGTATCTTGCAACTGAAGAAAATGAAAGCGGGGTGGGGGAGAAAAACAGACAGAAAGGGACTTCAAAATGTTCCTGCTGTTCCAAAGGTGAGCACTAGGAGTCAACTTTATGATGTTACTTTCAGAGCTTTGTAACATTATTTTCACTACCAAATAGGCTCTGTCTCATTTATTTAAGCATCATACAAAAACATGCAGCTTTTGTGGTCCAGACTTTACACCTCACAACATACCAGCAAGCCCCTAAGTTATCTAGGCTGACTCTTACCTGTTGCTCTAAAAGAGAATGTATAGGGCAGTAAGTGGCCTGCAGTTGGCAGAAGGATTTAATTCAATTGACAAGCTTTGCTGACATAAGCCATGAAATTGCAGCTTGAGCCATTTTTGAACAGCAGCCACATTTTCACTCAAAAGGTTTATAGTTTTTATTATTGAGGCATTAACAGTGATGCCACGGTTAAGGCTGGGTTGAAATTGTCCAACAAAGCAGAAACAGAAAATCCTTTATTCCTCACACTTTATTTAAATTTATTCTGTACAATAAGTGGCTCTCAACCTCATTTTTTGGCACTTATTTAATAACAGTTTATTTCTAGAATGCGAGCCTTTGATAGTGCCTTATCACATCTGATCAGTCTGAAGTCATAAGTTTTAATTGCAACACTATCAGAGATTATATTTTCTTCGTTTTACAGACAAATACCTGGATAAGCAAATTATATGTACTGGAATAATCAAAAGCAGACAAGCATCAAGGAAGTTCAGACCAACAGAGACATTTTCAGAAGGCTGCATTAGACAGATTTCCTCCAGGCCTCAAAAATTATTCCCTCCTCCGTTGTACACTCATTCCACACACAGACGCAAGAACACGCATCTATTAACTTCCAGCCACAGCCTAGTATATGCAGAATTTCAACGTTTTAAGTCCCTGTCAACCCTGGCAAAGGGACTGCCCTTGTTATTAGACCTAGAACAGGACAGAGGAAAGGCAGAGAGAGAAACAAGATAGGAGAGCACTGCGGAAGGGGAGAGCGACCAAGAGTCACTTAAGCAGCAGCAAGCTTCATACAGAAAGGAAAGGGCCAATGCTCATTTTCAAGCAACACAGAAAGCTTCAAACTTGCAGTAGACTTAATGCACAAAAACTTTCATCTTACTGTCTGGAACATCAGTCACTTTCCATCTCATCTGTGCTTGCTACATACGTCCTAGGAGAGCGTTGGAGGAAAGCAGCTTGGGATGGGCTAGTGGGGTTGAAAGCTTTGCATGCTGGTAAAGCTAGCTGACTAGCTAGCTAGTGAGAAGACAGTCAGTCATCTTTATTGCATCTGTGTAGAAACACAGAAAACAATCCAAGATGACTGGCCAAAGGACAGAGTCTTCGTTTTCAGAGCACTTATCCACAGGAATATTTAAGCATATCTATCAGCAGAAAAAAAGTAGGATTAAATCCTACTGGCAGTAAGGCCCCTAACCAACAACAAGGGTTTGTTGAAGCAAAAGCAGCTGCACAAGGCAAGACAAGAAGATACAGACTGCTCAGCATCCTGTCTCTAGAAGCCAAGAGCGGAAGATGCCCCCCTTCCCTCAGCGCAGAAGCAGGACAACCAGCAGCTTCAGATGTTCCTCAACCAAAGGTTCCCTCTGGATCACAGTAGCACTGGGTTCCCCTACTCTCCATTAGATCCTCTACTTCCCCTTTTAATCCATGTGTATTTTTCACGTCTGCAACATGTCGTGTCAGCAGATTCCACATCTAAACTGGGCCTTGAGTGAGAGGATGGAGATACTTTAGCTTTTATTAAAGCCTGCTCTTCCAACATGACACTGGGTATCCTTTAACTCTTTTATTTGGGTACATGATTTTTTTTAAAATATGCAATACTGCCTTAGACTCCAGAAATACGTGCAAATATTTATGTACCTTGCTGAACTAGAGGACTAAAATAGGAGTTATTTCTTAAAAATTTCACTTTCCTCTGTAGTGAGGACTTCAGTTTGGTATATCACATGACTGCCACAGAATGGCCACAGAAAATAGCCTGTGACATTAGGCAGCGATAATCACAGCAAGCGGTGGAGGGAGGGGAAAAAAATATTTCTCTATAAAATAGAACTCTATACTACTTTGAAATAGTATAATAGGGAGATAAAACATGGCTGGTAGGCAGAGTGATTTCTCAGGACTTCAGAGGTATATTTTTAAAACGATAGAATGGCTTCAAAAGGCAATTGAAATTCCTTAGGCATCTAGCAAAGCCAGAATTCTCACAAGTTAACCTTCAAGGATTTATGCACTTTCTTCTCTGAGGAAAATTGCTTCTGGAAAACTCACATAAAACACATAGGCAGAACTAATACAGCAAGGAGAGATCAGAAAGGCCAATAATTGCCTCAAGGGATTCTGTGGGTATTGTGTGGGAGGTGGGTATTACTTTAAATGATGTTTTGGATCAAAACAATAAAAAAGTTTTCCAAAAGATAATTTAAAAGACTATTAAGCACCGCTGCTGTTCAGAAATGATTTTTTTTCCCCAGACACATTGCAAATGAAGGATGTATTCTTCAGCTTTTTGATTTCAGCTGAATGCAGTTCAGCCCAATTATTTTGTTTTAATAGGTCTCCTGTTGGTTTTCAGCATTCCATTTTTGTATGATAATATTATCACACTTCATGAACACTAGACATTTTCAACGGTAATATGAGGTACAACTAATGCAGCAATTCTCACTGTTGCCACTTGCTGCCATATTCCTGCCGCCTACCCTCCTTCGCTTCCTCTCCTCTCAGCATCGCCAACGCAGGAAAAAACAAAACTGCCTCTCCACTAACTAACTGGCAGGAGCAGCCTAAGTAGCTGAGTTATTACCACCTTGGCTGTGTTCATCAAGCATTGTTCCAGTTCCTTCGTGCTTTCTGTATATCCAAAGTAACGTGGAGACCTACTCCGATATCGCATCATCTCCAACAGTACGCATTTGGAAGCAGAGAGCGCAAAATCTTCAACCATCAGTGGGCAGGGGGACCAATGCTGGCATCAGGGGCATCTCTGCCTTTCTAGGCATGACTGCAATACCATGGTATCAGCTCTCAGCGTCATCGCTACCACTAGTTTGTGCTTTCACGCTAAATTTTTGGCATAATTTGGCGCACACACAAAAAAAGTGAAAATTGAGATCTCATTTGGAAATTTCCAGACCTTCGTTACTGCAGAGAACAGTCTGAAAACATGACCTAAGTATAATTCAGACTGTATTTACAATAGCCATTTTATTGTGGTAGCCTGAGGCAGGCTGGTCCAAAGTAACCACTCCTTAGCTCATCATCTCTCCAAAAGGGTGAGGGCCAGGGGATTATCTGGAATTAATATTTCAGGCTAGTTCTATTCTGATACAGCTAATATTTAATCCTGCTCTCCTCAGATGTGACACAAGTCTAAACTAGACTGGGGAGAAGGGGTTCCCCAATTGTCCAGTTATGAGTTAGATCCAATGCCCAGTTTCGAAAACAGCTGGCATTGGTGATACTGCTTTATAACATTATTATTACATCTGCTTACTTCTAAAACGTAATAACTGATGCAAGATGCCATAATTATAAAACAAAGAGCATTTTCTGTACTGGGAAGCTTATCTCGCATGACAGCAATTGGTTGCTCTTGTCAGCATTATGTTCTTAACAAGGACTTTGGTGATTTTTGGAAACATCCTTGAATACCAGCTCTTTGGGAAAATTTCCACTAGATCCTTGGTCTTTTAATTCTCCCTGCACACACACAAAACTCCAGAAATTCTGTCCTCTGTTGCCCTATCCATGGGACTTCAGCCACACAAACTAACTAATCTCAAACTGCGCTGACAGGAAAGAGTACAGAAAAGGCTTGCATTGGTGCAGAGATGCCATTAAAAACAAGCACCTCATAAAAGCTACAGTTTAGGCACGTTCCAGCTTTTGAGCAAAGAACCCTCTCTCCCTCTTTATATGCAGTATCAAAAACTTTGGTCCTCAGAAATTACTCATGGATATTAGTATCTTAAAAATTCCTTAGTATATCTCCTTTAAACCTGCTGACATGTATCCCGGGTGACTACTCTTCCTTCTCACCCAGTCACTGAGACTCATTTCATCACACACTAGATTTAATTAGAGTTAATGAGAGAAGTACAGTATTTAGCCTTTGTTTTGCCTGTAAGTATTTCCGTATATTTACGATCCCTCTTCCTCCGTTGACGTATCAGCTGGGATGCTTAGCGGGTGCCTTCAGGCCCAGCAGAATTAAACCACCGAGCACGGAGGCAGGTGCTGCTGTAAACAACCCAGGAACCATTTCAGAGCGGAAGCTGCTGGGGAACAGTTCGGTTGCAGGATTTCTCCACCTACCATGTTGACGGCATCCTGATCGAAGGGGTTCCACTCTATGTTCTGCGGGTAGTGAGCCAAAACTTTGGACTTGAAAGTTCTTCTTAAGGGACTCTGGTCAAAGTTCTCTCCTGCAACAAACGAAGAAATGATGACTTGTCGCAACAGCAGTACCTCAGCAGGAGCTGGCCTGCGCAGTTTTGTTTCACTAGCGAGCGGCTATATGAGATCTGAAGCGCTTTTTTACTCCCAACCCTCGTACCACTTTCAAAAGAGAAACATCAAAGATTCACACTCAGTCAAGTCTTCCCTTCCTTCCCACAAAAATCTTGCCACAGTTGCAACATAGCTTCCAACTTAGTATTTACCGCATGGCAATTTTTTGGTAAGAGAAAAATTAATGCTTGAGTTTAAGGGAAAAGACCCTAGAGTCATCTGAATCTCCGTTTTCCCCTACAGTTTGAATACTAGAGATAGCTTTCCTTAAACACTGAAAGAGCATTTTCCCTAAAGTGCCTAAGAAACTATCTGATGGTCATAAAAGGTTTAAACACCTCTCAGCTCTTCCAAATTCTTCAAGGCTTCACTATAAATGCTTCTTATATTGCAGGTCCTGCATGAAGATTAAACATGTATTTCTTCTGTGTCAAATTTCAAGGACAAACTTTTGCCACACACAGAGATTCCAGAAAGTGCAAAGAGAAAGACTAAAATAAGACTTCCAGCGGAAACGCATCTAGTTATCAGCATACAAATAGTGTATTTCAAGGTGATACTGTTAAAAGAGTTTCCACTGCTGGAAAGTCTACAGTATGCAACATAGTAATCAAAATAAGAAGTTCTTAAAATCTATTAATTACACTACCATACAACTACTTTTTTTTCCATTGCATTTCCAAGCATTGATTCTTGATCAAGATATTAGATTACTAATTTCGGGCTTCTTTCTTTGAAGGCCACAAGTGGGTCTTGAACTATCATCTCCCATTCTGTTCCTTTCTCACCTAGGAGACAAGAACAGGACGAAAGCCTTAAGTTCAAGCTGTTTTCACCAATGTTTTCACCAAAACTTACTTGGCACTCAAAGGCTTGTTTTGAGACTTCCATGTGTTACTGAGATACTTAAAGGAAAAAAAAAAAACTATGAAATAGAATTTGATCTCTTTTCTTTAAAATATAAATATTTTGATTTCTCTTTATAATTAAAAATAGAACCAAGATTTTACTCTTTTTAAATGGTAGGTTATTTTGGCCGGAAAAAAAAATTCAACTATTTCGCAAGCTCTAAAGGCAACCCACCGTTCCTGCAAGAAAGATAAAAACTATGAGTTTACTAACGTCACTCTGCCCTTCTCTGAAGACAAAGTGGACTATGGAAATGTAATCTGTGCTTGCCAAGTTACATGTCACAACCCAACGTTAGCACAGCTAATAGCGTCCTAAGTGGTGTTGCAAATCAGTTCAGGAGTTACCCAAAGCTTTCTGAGGCCATTTGGCACATTTGACACATGCCCTTTGCTCCGTGAGAAGCACAGTCTACACAATCATTTGGTTCACGGTGAGCTAATACACATTTTTTAATACAGGAAAGCTATGCATCAGCATTAATTGAAGGAAGTTACTGCACAAACTGCTTCTTAAAGCAATGCTTCTCAGTCCTTGCCTTGTAGAGCTGAAATCTGCAGCCTACTGAGTGGAACGCCAGATAGTAAAGAAAAACACAGTTGCAATGCACATTTCCTGGCAAAGCTTCACAAACTGTTTGCTGTTTGTGATACTGCTTTAAAGTTCCTCACTATACGTTTTTTTTCTTTTTTTTTTCCTCCAGATTGAGGGGGGAAAAAAAGCTATGTACTAGAATAATAAATGCATAGAAACTCTTTAAAATGCCTTCAGTTTAGAGAGCAGGATCAGCACTGTCAGAGGTGGATTCACTTCCCTGCCTTTAAAAAAGGCAGGCGTCTCCTCTGACCCTGCTTATAGGGCCAATGCCACAAAAGCGATGCCAGCACAAGAGGAACAGCTGGAGGAACAAGAGGCAAAGGTCGGGAATTTCTTGCACCGACCTCACCGCCAACGCCAGCCACCCGCCTGGCCGGGAAGAGGAAGCAGAGGCTTACGCCATCGCTCCCTTCTGCGAGGCCACGCGTCGGTGGTGGGAAGTTCCTCGAGATCTGCGAGTCAGCTCTGACGGTGCTGCACTTCCCGCGCTGTGACAGCTGCTGCGCCGGCCACCCTCAGGAGCCAGGCAGAGGGTCGCTACCCCAGTTCCAAACATGTTCGAAGAACGGCTTTAAAACCTTTTCTTTCCAAAGATTTCTTTGGGATTTTAAGGATAGAGGTGTTTTTATTCAATAGCTCATTCGTAACACAGTATTTAAACATGTGCTCATTTTTACCATGTAATTTATACACATGCACCCATCTAATACTTTTGTTGCATTATTTTTTCTAGCACTCTGAATGTTTTGTTTAATTTTGGTGGATGCTTGGTGCGGAGGGGAGCAAATAAGCCTTTACAAGGATATTTTGTACTTGAGAGGAAAAATGTCCAAGGTGATGCAATGCTACAGGCATATTTCCTGGGGCAGGAACAAATGCAAATGTTAAAATGTGAAGAGCTCTGGCAGGGGAATCCAGCCTGCTTCTGCTCAAGGCAACCCAAAAATCCAGCAAAAGCATGTGCATCGTAGAAATGATGAAGAAAACTGGATCAAATTAAAAGATCTCACGGTTTAGCTGATTAGCTTACCACATCTTTCAACTTGAACAAGAGTTGGCACTAACTGCCCTGGCAGTCTAGAGTACAAGATGAAGATCCTTCTCATGATCTGTTACTTCAGCTGACTGAAGTACACAGAAACAGGGAATACTGCTCTATTATAGAACACAGCACTAGAAGAAATCTCTTATTTTTGTCTAGAAGCTCTTTGTTGAGGTACCGAGTTCTATAAGATAAAAATCTCAGCAAGCAAAGCCAGCAGAAATGTTCTCTCCAGGTAGGCACTTAAATGTACTTGGCCACATTCTTGATTCTTAGCATCAAACAGTAATTAATGTGCTTGCATAATCAAGTAAACAGGCATGAGGTTATTTCTTAATTGGCTCTTCAACCCTCTTCACATATCTACCTTAGAACTGTGAATTAGCAGAAAAGCAGATATTCAATGGTAAATTTGTTTGGGTGCTTCTACTATAACTTCAAAGAGCATCTACAGTATTTCCTCAAGTTCTCCATAGCTAACAGAAGGCGACTGCTGCAGTCCAGCTCTGTGTAAGGGTTCGCCTTTCCACGACTGAAAAATGTCATCGTGAGGTTCAGTGACACTAATAGCACTTTCGTTCACAGGACCGGTCCTCTGCAGATTCTTCAGGGGGCAATTTTCCCACCTACGTTACACAGGTGTTTTAAAAACACCTTTTGCTTGATAAACAGGCCACAGAGATGACAGTTAACAACTACATTGATTAATCATCTAGTGCCAGCGCATAACTGCAAATGGGAGTCCTAGTAGCAATACAACTTAATCACGTCTTTTACTCTTTCTAACGCCTGTGCTCATCTGTAGGCCCCAAGGAGATCAACGTGCTAAGAACTTTTAGCAAAAGACAAAGTTTTATGTAGTTACAGCTATCTGAGTGGAAGGGAGTCATGCAATTAAGAATCAGATACATTTTCCTGATAAACCTTTCAATTCCAAAATCACTTTTCCATGCTCATTCTCTAAAACAGATACTGTTTCCACAGTATAGGAACCAGAGTTAAAACCTATACTGGTATGCAAGGTTGGACAGGGGGAAAAAGAATTATATATATCAATGCTTCCTTACCACAGCTATGTTTTCCTCAAGTGATTCACTTCCACTTTTAATTGCACTCCTGTCATACATTTGTATTTTGCTTAAATAGTGCAGCCCCCCTGTTCAGTACTTGGCTAATCCTGTCCAATAAAGATCATGGTGTCATCCTCTTACTCTTAAGAAAAATGAAAGAGTTGCTGCAATTTCCCCTTAGCAGAAATCAGGCTTGTGGTTTCTCCCATCAGAATTTCAACTGACAATTGTCTGGCTTTTTGTGCGAAGGTAGTTTGTGGGGGCAGAGGGGGGAAATGCAGAAAAAATACATTTAGCTAAGTCTGCCACTTTGCCACCGTCTAAGTTAGCCACTCCTTCGGGCCAGGGGACTGGCATTCCCATGTCATTCAAAGGCCAGACCATATGACGTCAGTTCAGTCCGCAGGCTTTACCCCTCATTTTCAGAAGTAACGGCAGAGGGAACCTGCTCCCAAGGCCTTCACTAAGTTAAAGATAACATGAGTTATCAGTGCTTCACACCTCCAGGCAGCAGGCTTTGCATCTCCTCCACTGTGGCGAGTAACCGACTCTTTACAGGTAGAAGACTTACGGAGAGCTGAATTAACTGAGCACTTTCGAGTGAAAGCCATGATTTTTCAAGACAGGCTTGAAAGCATGTGGGACGGGGGGGAAAAGAGCAAAAACACACAAATTTCAAAGAGCCCTGAAGAGGCTGCTTTACTTGTATGGCCTTTTCAGCTCGCTGCTCAGACAGGCATCCCAACACTAGTGCTGCCTCCCCAGCCACTGCCAAAGGAAATGACAGCTGTGACACTCCGTCCATCTAGCACAACCACTGATCTGTTTTCTTCTTATTTTTGTTTAATCTAGCAGTAACTGAAAAGCTTCCTACTGCTATAGCGTTTAAGGCTGCATATGACATTTCTTTATCACTACCAGAGCTGTCTGTGTCCCAACAACGCTGCTCTGTTAGCAGCAATGGAATATAGAGGTGCTCGTCTGAGAGGGTATATCTGGCAGTAATTAATTATTGATATGCACCAGCACCTGCTCCTGAGCACAAGATTTCTGAAGCACCTTGTATCCAAGGCCTGTAAAGCAGTTCACAGGTAAGAGAAATGAACATGTGCCTCTATTTACTTGCAGTTGCTTGAGACTTGTGCACGATGTTTTCCATTTCCCTTGAGCATTCCCTGCTCAGATACAAACTGATCTGGGGAGAGGAGCGGGGAGAGGAGAGGTCAGATATAGAAGCATGGAGGACTGGGAAAACCTCTCCAAGTTTCCAGCAGGAGCAAGAGGCTTCTGCCACCTTGATGGGGGCTCACACTGGTAGCGCGCTGTGGGCAAGGGAAGCCTGGCCACCCTCCCTCTGGGCCAGGGGAGATCCGCTGCATACTGCCCCACGCACAGAGCTGGCAGGGTTTGGGCAGCCCTCCTGCAATGCCAACTCCAGGAGGAGGGCCCAAGGCTGCAGCATCCAGTAGGAAACAATTTCTCTAAGCTTTGAGCTCAACCACAAGCTTTGGCTGCCTTTGATGAGGTCTCTCACAGGCAACCTTGAGGCGCAGAACAAGCTCAACCGCTGCTGTGCTGCACCTGGACCACAAAAGGCAGCCAGACACCACCATGCTCTGGCTGTGCTCCTGTTGCACCTTTAATGTGCTGGCTTCAGCATGCCCGAGACGTGGGGACGGCACGCTTGGGACATTTCTGACATAGCAGAACACGAGTCCGTGGCAACGCTGTAAGCGCAGGACTCGTGTGAGCAGGGGAGAGGCGAGGATGGGAGGAACACCCTGCCTGTTGTAGGTCCTCCTAGCACTCTCCTGCAGGGTAAAAGAGTTTCACCTGGCTAATTCCATCCAATGGGAGTTTCGCACCAAATCCACATGCCATCCTGGGGCAGAGAGCAGATCCCCTTCGCAAGGGGCCCTGTAGGCTCCCTTTCCTTCCCTTACCACACTACATCAGTGTCTGTGGTGGAAGAGCTTCATGAAAGGAGCACAGCTGGGACACACTCTCAGCCAGGGCTGAGCCCCTGCAGGGTCAATGGCACCTCGGGGGACACGACTGCGCTGTGAGCGAGCACCACACCAAAGGACTCAGCCTGGACCTATATAAGCTCCCAGTACACACAGAAGTGGAGCTTTACCTACCTGTCTGGGGAATCTTCTGCAAGTTGGACAGTCCTAGTTTGCGGTGGAGGTGAAGAGGGAAAAAGGAAGGGTAAATGTTGCATGGGGCCTGATGCTATCTTGAGTTTAAGCAGTCCTCAGACACCAGAGCAGCACTGCCAGGCACCAGAGCAGCACATCGGGACTACTCATAAAAACAGGCAGATCAATCCTGGAAGACTTTGCCATAGGAAGTAGGTGGCACACTTACTAACCCCACCAAATACAGCTGTGCCTTCTACTTCTGTTTCCAAGTTAGCCTTAGGAATTACATCACTAGGAATACACACACATATTTTTTACTGTCTTCATCTCCTTTTCCATAATAATCATTCTCCAACAATCCGATAGACAAAAAAATCTAGCATAATCTTGAACAACTGGAAAAAAAAGAAGGCATATTTGCCCTTAAGCCACGCTAATCATGAAAAAAACTTAGGATTTCAATCAGCTTTTGGATATGACCAGTAATTTGTATGCTACTGCAAATACTTGTACAGTCATTTAGATGTCAGAGATATGTAAAAAACATTGTTTTTGAAACAAACCTGGCTTTAAGAAATCTGGCTTTTTCGAAGACAGCAGTAACAATGTCCTAGTAAAGTGATAACATGGAGTTCCTATGATCCAGGAAAGTAAGTGGCACAAATAACTTACCTTTACTGAGTCTCGGCAGGATTTGCATTTTTTTACTACGGTGTCTTAAAAAAAAAAAGAAAGAAAGAAAGAAAGAAAGACCACTCCCCCACAATACAATTTTCTCAACAAACAATCGTAGGACAAAAGAGAAGAGCCAAGAAACCATACTGGAGTGAATCAATGAGTCATTAGTGTGAAAGGACAGAGCATTGCACCTCACACACATCGCTGCTCTGGAAAGCCAGGCATGGCAAGCTTTTAAAGAGGTTGCACAATTTAGATAAGAAACAATACAGAGCTATAACAGAAAGCAACCTGCATGTCAGGGTGAAATATCATCATTTAGCCAAACTACCAGAAAATGCCACAACTGACCCCGAAATGAGATGAGAGACTCAGCACATGACACTCAGATCCACACTGACAAGCAGCTAGAAAAGCACCCCACAGCAAGCAAAACCTTCTTGGCAAACCTGAGGAAAAGCATCCATACTGGAAATGTGCTTTATATTATCAACCCTCAGCACTGGTGGCTGCAAGCTGCTGAGTCACATGTGACAAATTTTATTTAGCTTGTATTTTAGGCAAACAGTGAATTTCGATTGAATCTACTACACACTTTTAAGTGCTTGCTTGCTAACTTGCAAAATAGAATTAGCAAAGCACATTAAAAATGAAGCAAGTATCAAATGTGAATTGAATACATATTCTAAAATATTAATGGCCAGATAACAGTACTATGAATACAGAGAGTAACATCGTATTTGATGCATGATACCCATCCATGTAAACAGCATATCTCAGAGTAAGCTGCCACTCAGAAGTAAATTAAAAGTTTAATTTTGAATGAACTCCTTTAACTTTCAGAATATTTTAGAAAAAAAATCATGGAAGTATTTTTTTTTAATTATGTAAAATGTGTCAGATTCAAGTTTCATTTCAGTTGGATACTACATCCTATCTAATGACACTTTCAAACAACTTGCATCTTCCCTTGAAGGCACTCATTTTTAAAGAGTAATCTAATTCCTCTTTTAAAGCAAATGTTGAAATAATGGATGGTAGATCAAGCAAAACTATGCTAATTTCATTTCAAAGGAGAAACAACTCAAAACCAGAAAATGAGCATCTTTGCTATTTTGGGTAAAGGATAATTTTCCTAGAGTTGTGAGATTGTCAGCCATGACTGCTTCCATGTGAGGAATCATATTTAAAAAATTTAGAAGTTCTAAGATTTAAGCATGTATATTTTAATTATCGCAGCTCCAGAGGCATATGAAAATAGGTACTAAATAGGCAAAGGCATCCTTTCCCCACACCCTCTGGTGCAGGGAACATGAACTATCTGCAGCCTCTTGTAAGTTCTGGACCGTAGACAGGAATCCACGTGACCACAGAAATAAAAATATCTTTTATTCCTTTAGAGGAACCTGCTGGAACGTGAATATGCACAGTACTGTACATCATGGTGACAGCCTCTTTGATAGCTATTTCTAATTAAAAACATTCAGCACATCCAGCTATGTTGTTCCACTGCCGACTGAACTCTGTGAAGCTTCCCGGATATCGGCATGACCCCGCAGGAGAGGCGAGCGCTGTACAACAGAGAATGGAGAAAACAACACGGGAACAGGAAAAATAATGCTTAGCTGGAGAGCATCTAAGCTGCTCGCTGCTGGGTGCCAGAGCCGAGGACTTCGAGTAGCGCCGAAATTGTGCTCTCCTGCTCTTCCCCTCGGGGAACCAGTGGGTCACGAGTCAATACGCAAGGACATTAATTCAAAGGCAGTATTTTCTACCATGTGTTCCCATAATCTTACGGTGCAGGAGGGAAGTGATATGAAGAGGAGGACAGGGACGAGGCAGACAAAACAGTTTTCTTCCCAAAATTTTAAGACCGACGTTCATGAAA